TGCATAATAGAATATCATATAATCCATTATACATATATATACATATATCACACATATGTACAAATGGACACTGTGTACATGTCTGTATGTATGTAGGTATGTACGTGCGTACGTATGTACGTATGTCGGTCTGTCTGTGCGCATGATATATGTATGTGTGTATATATATATATACATATTATATGTATATAGATTGATTGATTGATTGATAGATCGATAGACAGGAGGCTGGCTTCCGGTTTTTCGGGTTTTCGTCTGTGGCTCCTCAGGGTCCCGGCTGGGATCCAGGAGCTTCACCTGCGTTGCGGGTTTAGGGTTTCAGGTCTTTTCGGGGGGGCGTTTAGGGTTTTAGGGTTCTTTTTGGGCGTTTAGGGTTTTAGGGTTCTTTTTCGGGGGGCTTTTAGGGTTTTAGGGCGCTTTTGCGGAATGACTCTTTCTTCCTGAGGTTGGGTCTGGGTTGCGAGGTCGGGAGTTTGCGTGACGGGAACCCCCAAGCTGCCCTGAAGGCATTCAGGAGTTAAAGCTTTAGGGTTGAGGGCTTTAGGGTTTGCTGTTTGATTACCAGAACACTTCGATTGCATTACGAAGCCCACAACCCTGAGTCCCCAAGCCCGAGAAACCGAGGCCTTCAACCCCAAATCCTAAACCCTCAACCCTAAACCCGAAACCCTAAACCCTAAACCCTAAACCCCAAAACAACCTCCCCTCTTAAGGTTTTGGGTCGGAAGCCCCGCCAGTCGATTGGCAGAGGTGAAGAAGAGGGGCCCATCTACCTCCTTGGCTTGGGGGTTTCTGCGGTGTAGGCTTCAGGGCTTAACAGCCGAAACCCCTAAACCCTAAACCCTAAACCCTAAACCCTAAACCCTAAACCCTAAACCCTAAACCCTGAACCCTAAGGCTGAAACTGAAAGGTTCGGGAGGGGTTGAGATTCGGAGGGTTTAAACGGCTTGAAAGCTCTTTAAGGTTTAGAGCGTGGCAGGGTTTTATGGGCGGCATCGCATCATGGGCTTGGCGCGGATTTATATGCTCTGAAGCAAGCTTGCCCGGCTTAGAGATGCAGCGTTTACGATACCCAATATTTAGACCCCAAAAAAATAGGATCCCTTACAATAAGGACCCCAATAAGGTACCCATAAAATCGTAAACCCCCACACCCTAAACCCAAACCCTAAGGAAAGACCTTTCCCAGGTGGACACCGCAGCATGCGGCCGGGGATCGTACACCTTCATGTTGCCTGTCCTTGGCCGCACTCTGATGAACTGAACTTACTGTTGGTTAGTAGGGAATGGGGGAGTGAGGTACCCCGCATACTCCCTTACAAGGGTATACATAGGGCCCTTACTCTCTCATTCCCTGCTCACCAGCAGTAAGTGAAGTCCACTGAAGCGTATCATATTCTGGGTAGGTGGTAGGCTACTCGGGGGAGGGGATAGTCCAGGGGCCCAGCACCTAAACCCGAAACCAGAGGCTCCGCCTCTCAGGCTCAAGGGAGGGAAGGAAGGAGTACCGTGAAACCTTGTGAGGGCCAGGGCTCAGGGTTTTGTGAAAAAACAAAGACGGAACGAATCCACTCAGGCGATGAGGAGGCTAACTTCCCCCCTTACACCCGAAATCCAAAACCCCGACACCCCGAACCCCCCCTTCCTCTCGAGGCCCCGACAGGGACTCCGTGAGGCGGAAGTCGTGTCCCGCGTCCCAGGCAAAGCTGATGGCACAGATTGACACACCCACCTGGCGCTTCCCGGGGCTTCGGCAGGGGTTTTGGGTCGTACGGGCTGTGGGCTTAGGATGTTAATTCGGGTGTAGGGATTTGAAGGGTTTTGGGTTTCACGCGGCTTTGGGGTTTAGGATTTATTTCGGGTTTAGGGGTTTCAGGGTGTTGGGCTCTTTGGTTTCAGCGTTGCAGGTCCATTTTGAGATCTTCGTCTTGGGCTAAAAAGCCTGTTTAGGGTGTGGGAACTCCAAACCCCAAACCCAAACCCACGCCAGGGTCGCGGAACCAAGGTTGAACTGGCCAAGCGGCTAAGACGGCCACCGCGATGTTGGTCTGCTTTGAGAGGACCGTCACCACCTGGGGGTTTTCGGGGGGGTTTGGGGTTTCGGGTTTAGGGTTTAGGGTTTAGGGTTTTGCCGGGGGGAGGTCTGGCGTTTTGGGGCTTCAGGGCTCTTGCACAGCCAGCCCCATGCAACCCATCCTGAACAAGCTGCTTTCTAGCCAAGCCGTCTTCAAAACATCTTGACGCAAAAACTTCAACCCTAAAACCATAAACCTACAAACGCATAAAAACCCTAATCGACCGAAACGCAAACCCTCAACACCACTAAATGCCCAACCCTAAGCATCTCTTAACCATAAATCCTCCCTCGGTTCACCTCCTAAACCCTAAACCTTGCCACACCTAAACTTCGGGGCTTCAGAGATACCGCTCAACTGGAACGTAATACGAGTACTTCGTCTCAAGTCTCTTCCACATAAATACACACCGCCGCGGTGTGGGGGATAGGGTTTTAGGGTTTAGGGTTTAGGGTTTAGGGTTTAGGGTTTAGGGTTTAGGGTTTAGGGTTTGGGGTTTCGGGTTTAGGGCTTCACTAGGGGGTAGGGAGTCCTAGGACCTACCACCTCATCGGCAGATCCCAGCGGCCAGAACGACCAAGGCCTCGATCCGAGGCACCTTCTTCCAGGGTTTAGGGTTTAGGGTTTAGGGTTTAGGGTTTGGGGTTTGGGGTTTGGGGTTTAGGGTTTAGGATGGTTTAGGGTTAGGGTTTAGGGCTTAGGGTTGAGGGTTTAGGGTTCAGGGCGTTCAGGTTTTAGGTTTTCAGAGCACTCTACACAAACTTCCAGGACTTGTCTTTGGGGCTGCGTGGGTTCCTTAGGAGGGTGAATAGCCAGCCGTCAAAGCCAAGACTGCTACACCCAAGCACCCGACAACCTCTAAACCCCAAACCTTATGAACAGCTGCCAAAAAAAAAACTACCCCTGGTTTCAGAGCTCAAGCCTTTCGGTGGAGGTTCAGGCGGTCGCGGAGCGTCTTGGGGAGCACGGCCGCCAAGACCATGCCAAGCGAGAACCACCTGGAGGAAGACTGTTGTACGTTTTGGGAATCCGATGATAACACGGGGATTTTTTCTATCTATCTATCAAAATGTTTTTATACACACAGAATAATACCCCAGAACAGATTCTCTCACTGCGGCAGTTCAGGATTTGGGATTGCCGGGTTTAGGGCTTGGGGGTGGGCTCTCAAATTCGGATCCCCCTTACAATAGAAGCCCTCAACCCAAAGCCCAAACCTTTAAATTCTAGCCTAGCATGGGAAGTGGCGGAGGGTAGGTGACCCCAAACTGGCTTCCTTGGGCTTTCTGGGTCCTATCAGGTGTTGAGGGTTGAGGGTTGAGGGTTGAGGGTTGAGGGTTGAGGGTTGAGGGTTGAGGGTTGAGGGTTGAGGGTTGAGGGTTGAGGGTTGAGGGTTGAGGGTTGAGGGTTGAGAGGGGGGGGGGGGGGGGGGGGGGCAAACTTTTGGACAAGAGGCTTGAAGGTGTGCAGCACAACCACGATCATGATGCCTCGAGGCTTCTGAATCATCCGGAACGCCAGCAAGCCCAAACACACTTGGGAACCAGGGCTTACAGCTTAGGCTCTCGGAAATCCGGCTCAAGTGACGACGAGGCTCCAACCCTGCAATCCCCCAATCCCCGGTATGCCATCGCAAGAATCTCTCGATGACCTAAGGCCCCAAAACCTCATAACAATGGCACGGGCACCCTTCTCCGACCCTAGCCCCATAAACCTCCCACCCTAAACCCTAAACCCTAAACCCTAAACCCTAAACCCCAAACCCCAAACCCTAAACCCTAAACCCTTTAAACCTAAACCCCATAAGACGAACCCCCTCGGCCGCAACACCTTCCCCTCCCAGCCTGCCAAGGCAGCCACGGGGATGAAGTTCCTCCGGTTTAGGGTTTAGGGTTTAGGGTTTAGGGTTTAGGGTTTAGGGTTTAGGGTTTAGGGTTTAGGGCTTAGGGGCTCAGAGGTGTTGGGGACTGACTTCTGAGCTTCGTAAGGGAAGCTGAGGGCCTAGGGTTTAGGGTTTAGGGTTTAGGGTTTAGGGTTTAGGGATGGTTTAGGGCTTAGGGCTTAGGGCTTGGGGATAGGGTTTGGGCTTAGGGTGTAGGGTAGAGGGTTTTTGGCGAGAGCTCTTCGGGTTTCTGACATCCGCCAAGCTTCAGCAGACGGTAGGCGCCCATCACCGAGGCCATCACAACCAGTGCGGTCACTGTCCTTGCACGCAAGCCGCGCGTACAAGTAGCTTGCAAGACCAGTAGTGGCTGTTCACACGGAGCGGAAGTTGACGAACCTGAACAAGCCCTTTTTTCCCGGCATGCACTGTACAGTGCCGGCTTGCATTCCTTGGTCTCTGGAGGGGTGCCTTGCAGGCGACTTGCTCCGCAGGCTAGCGAGAATGCACTGTGCAGAAGCGCCTGTAGCACACGACGGCCTAGGGCCTAGTCAACCTCCTCAACGGTCGGGCCGCTGGCGCCTCCGGGGGGGCCGCCCATGTCAGCACCGGGCATGCCGCCCTCGGGCATGCCACCACCACCTGCCGCCTGGTAGACCTTCATCATGATTGGGTTCACGACGCCCTCGAGCTCCTTCTGCTTGGCCTCGAACTCGTCCTTCTCGGCCAGCTGGTTCTTGTCCAGCCAATCGAGGGTCTCCTGAACGGCCGACTCGATCTTCTCCTTGTCGCCGCCCTCGAACTTGTCCTTCAGCTTCTCCTCGTTCAAGGTGTTGCGCATGGTGAAGCAGTAGTTCTCCAGGCCGTTCTTGGCCTCGATCTTGTGCTTGTTAGCCTCGTCTTCGGCACGGAACTTCTCCTCACGTGCGGTCAAGGTGCCCTGAATATTACCTACTAGTAGTGAAAAAGATTGAAAAACCTAACTTGAGGGCACACTAACCGACAGGAAGCAGAAGTACCTCTCAAGAACAGGCCAAGCTTCTGCTTCTTGCACCATGCGGTCGATCTCGGCCTGCGATAGGCGGCCCTTCTCCTAGACAGATTTTTTGGATTTGTGGCTTGGATGTTTGGCACTGGTTGACAGGGCACGAGCTCATCATGAAGAACCTTTCCAGGGTGCTGCCCAAGAATCGTTCGTGATGGTGATCTGGTTGGACTTGCCGGTGGACTTGTCCGAAGCGCTCACGTTCAGAATGCCGTTGGCATCGATGTCGAAGGTCACCTCGATCTGGGGCACGCCGCGCGGGGCTGGAGGGATGCCGTCCAGGTGGAACTTGCCCAGCAGGTTGTTGTCCTTGGTCATGGCGCGCTCACCCTCAAAGACCTGGATCAACACACCCGGCTGGTTGTCCGCGTAGGTGGTGAAGGTCTGGCCCTTGCCGTATTTTCGCAGGGAGGCTTCATGTTTCGGGGGTAGAAGGGAGCCGCTGTATAAGGACTGTTCAGAGCATGGGGGTGGGTCCTCAAAGCCGAGTTGAGGACTTTCGGATGCAAGGAGGTGTCTGAACGGTGCTTAGTCCCGAAACAGCTTCTTGATCCGCGTACGCGACATTCCGAATTCCGAATCCCAAGGCCTTCTTAGTGGGGATGGTCGTGTTGCGCTCGATCAACTTGGTCATCACGCCACCGGCAGTTTCCAGACCCATGGACAAGGGCGTCACATCCAGAAGCAGCAGGTCCTGCACCTGGGACGAACCCTCGCCAGTCAGGATGGCGGCCTGCACCGCGGCACCGTAGGCCACAGCCTCATCAGGGTTGATGGACCTGTTGGGCTCCTTGCCGTTGAAGAACTCCTGGATCATGGCCTGCACCTTGGGAATGCGCGTGGAGCCGCCAACCAGCACGACGTCGTGCACATTCTTCTTATCGATGCCGGAGTCCCTCAGGCACTTCTCCACTGGGCCCATGGAGTTGCGGAAGTAATCCATGCACAGCTCCTCGAATCGGGCACGAGACAGGGAGCAGGAGTAGTCAACGCCCTCGAAGAGGGAGTCGATCTCGATGGTGGCCTGGGTGGAGGAAGACAGCGTTCGCTTGGCCCGCTCGCACTGTGTTCGCAAACGGCGAAGGGCCCGCTGGTTGCCCGCCATGTCCTTGCCGCGATTCTTTCGCCTCGGATGGCGCAACATGTAGCAAGACCCGATGGAAGCTGACCTGTTGACTCCTACAAGCTACACCGCTTGTCGGACAAGTTTCTTGAAGTCCTGAATGCAGAAGTCCACAATGCGATTGTCGAAATCCTCACCACCCAGATGGGTGTCGCCGGCGGTTGCCTCTGCATCTCGAGCTTCGGTACAACAACCGAAACAGGCAAATGGCCACACATGCAAACCTCGAATCCTATTCCCATGAAGAATTTCAGTCCCGCAAGACCGCAGAGAAAACTGCCTACAGGGGCTTGGGCTGCGATGAGCAAGAGCTTCTCAGCAAGAAGCGGCCTTCACCTCGAAAATCCCATCTTCGATGGTCAGGAGGGAGACATCGAAGGTGCCACCGCCCATGTCCTGCTTCAACCAAGGGATTTTGGGGGCGAATCTGACTCCCGGGCCCCAAGGTCTACACAAACGTGCTGCCGGGAGAGGAGTCTTCTGCCAACATTGAACAGCTCCACTATAGAGACCTGAACTTTTCCTAGGTTTTAAGGAATGTAGCCAAGCGTCGTAGATGAGCACGTTCCTTTCGCCGGAGCCCTTCTTGTCCAGTCCGTACGCAATGGCTGCCGCGGTTGGCCTGGTCTCTCCGTCTCTTCCACATGACGTGTCTCAGTCGTCTCATAAAACAAAGAGCACTGTCCGGAGACGTCGAAACCCCGGCCAATGAGCGTTCGCTTGTTTTGGCTAGGTCAGTTAGCTGAGTGGCTCATTGATGATGCGCAGCACGTTCATGCCAGAGATGGTGCCTGTCAACAGGTCAACTTTTTGTGATGGAGAGGGCTTAAAGCGGACATTATGGCAGACATTGTCAGGAGACTAAACCTTAAACCCTAAACCCTGAACCCGAAACCTCAAGGCCTGTTCAGTGGGGGAGTGGGATACAATGAAGGGGCGCCTGCATCCTTGGTGGCCTGGCGCTGCGAGTCGTTGAAGTACGCCGGCACCGTGACCACGGCGTCGTTGATCTTGGTGCCCAGGTAGGCCTCGGCAGTCTCCTTCATCTTCAGGAGCACCATGGAGGAGATTTCCTCCGGGTGGAACTTCTTTTCCTGGGACAAGGCTCTTTTTGTCACTGAAAACTCAGGAGAACCACAAGCATGGGAGACATGCTGTGCGGGATCGTCGAGGTTGGGGGGGGGGGGGGGGAAGAGACAAAGCCAAGGGCTCCTCACCCTCCACGGTGACCACGATGAGCGGCTTGTCGCCGGCGCCGGCCTGCAGCTTGAAGGGCCACAGCTTCATGTCGGCCTGCACGATGGGATCTGCGAACTTGCGGCCGATCAGGCGCTTGGCATCGAAGACCTGAGCCACAAGCTGGACAAGGGGCGTGAAGGCATTCAAAGGCGGGACTTCACAAGGCACAACAGCCAGCAGTAAAATGGAGCTTTGGCAGGCCAGGGGGCGGTGTTCTCCGGGTTGCGCGCGACCTGCACCACTGACTGCGTTCGTGTCTATGCGTGTATGCCGTGTACAGACTCAACCGGAGAGTGCCCGACCTGGTTCTTGGCTGCGTCACCAATCAACCGCTCGGTATCCGTGAAGGCCACGTAGGACGGCGTGGTCCTGTTTCCCTGGTCATTGGCAATGATCTCGACGCCGTCGTTCTTCCAAACGCCGACGCAGCTGTAGGTGGTGCCAAGATCCTCAGATCCGGAGGGTCGTAAAGCTGGCAAAGGGAGCTCATATAGGGGCCTTCATAATGAGAATAGGGTTCTGCAGGTATAAAAGTATACTAAGAAAGGGACCAGAAGGGAATATAGTACGTGCTCCCAAACTCCCAACTTCCCTGAACCCCCTCAGTTTCACAAGCCGAGGGTCGATCCCAACTGCGGTCTTCTTGGCCATGACGGCGCTTCCGAAGACAAAAACAAAGGCCGAACGTTAAAGAAAACTGATGGCTGCAGAACGGGCGGGAAGGTGCGCAAAGGCACGACGAAGAGCATGCACTGTGGACCTGTTCCCAACCCTACAGGCCCGGGCTTTGGAACCGAAACCCCAAGCCTCAAGCCCCTCAAGGTCCAACACCTCCACCTCACAAACACGCTGCTCAGGTCCTACTCAATCCGGCCAAACCTCTCCTGGGCTTAGGGGGTTGGTGCCAAAGCCCTCAAGGCACCGCGCCCGTGCTGAGCGGCTTACAAGCCCAGACCATCAGCTCGAAAACCTCAAGACTCAACAACACCTAGGTGAAGGCGCAGCTAAATTTTTTAGGGCTGAGAGGGTTTGGAGGGTTTGGAAGGGCTAGGGCCTAGGGTTTAGGGTTTAGGGTTTAGGGTGTGTCAGGGGAGGGCGCGCGCTCGGGTGTGAAACACCCCGGGCCGCGCGCTCGCGTTGCCCGTCAACCCACCCCGGCCACCCAAACTATACTCTATTAGGGTTTAGGGTTTATGGAATTTACTTTCTTGTGCTCTGATGCTTGCTTTGATGTTTTTAAAGTTGCGCTGTTAGGGTTTAAGCTGGGGTTGGGGGTAGCCTCGGCCCTTTTCGGGCCTTCGGCGTGTCAGGGCCCGTAGAGGCCCTTATTTATTTGAAGGTCAAGGAAACCCTTTGTGTCTGCTCCTGGATTCCCCTTCTTAAGGGCCTCAATTAAGCATCGATTTCACTACCAAAAAATCGCATTTTTCATTGCGGGAACGGGCATCCTGGGGTCCCCCTTCTTTTAGGGGGCCTTTTGAAGCCTTTTGAAGCATTTTGGTGGCTCTTGGGGTCTCTCGGGGCTTTGTTCGGACCTTCGGCGTGTCAGAGGTTTTATTCATTTAAAGGTCAGGGAACCTATTAATGAGTTTTTCGCCAATGAGTATTTCAATCGCTAGGGTTTAAGCTCGGGTTCGGGGTAGCCTCGGCCCTTTTCGGGCCTTCGGCAAGTTAGGGCCCGTAGAGGCCCTTATTTGCTTGAAGGCCTTCGCAGGGTTTTGCGGTGTTAGGGTTTAAGCTGGGGTTCGGGGTAGCCTCGGCTCTTTTCGGGCCTTCGGCACGTTAGGGCCCGTAGAGGCCCTTATTTACTTGAAGGCCGTCGTAGGGTTTTGCGGTGTTAGGGTTTAGGTTGGGGTTCGGGATAGCCTCGGTCCTTTCCGGGCCTTCGGCACGTCAGGGCCCGTAGAGGTCCTTGCTGATTTGAGGAAGCCATCGATTTCAGTACTAAAAAAGAACATTTTTCATTACGGGCAGGGGTGCGTAAAACCATCGTTTTCAATATTCCAAAATCGCATCTTTCATTGTGGGCACGGACAAATCTTATGGTCCCCCTTCTTTTAGTGGGCCTTTTGAAGCTTTTGAAGCCTTTTGGTGGCTCTTGTCGCCTCTTGGGGTCTTGGCCTAGAGAAGGGGCTTGGGTCGGTCTTGGCCCTTGGTCAAGGGTGCCCACCAGGGGGCCCTTGGCCCGGGCGGCCCCTACGCCTGGCCCTTGGCCGGGGCGCCTGGCTGGGGCGCTAGCCCTTGGTTGGGGGGCGGCTTTTGGGGGCCAAGGGGTTGGTGTGGGGGAATCTGGTGGGGGGGCGCTTGGTCCGGAAACCCTTGATCGGGGGGCCCTTGGCCGGATGGCCCTTGGGCCGGGGCTTCACCCGCAACCCTTGGCCCTGGGGCCCTTTGGCCGGCGGGGCCCTTGGCCAGAACCCCTTGGCCCGGGGGGCCCTTGGCCGGGCCCTTGGCCGGGGGGCCCTTGGCCCGGGGGTTGGCCCGGGGGGCCTTGGCCCGGCCCCGGAAATATTTGGCGCTGGAGGGGCGCTTGGTTTGGGCCCGAGGGATTCTTGGATGGGGGCCCTTGGTTTGGGGGGCCCTTGGCCGGGGGGCCCTTGGTTCGGGGGGCCCTTGCCTTGGGCTTGAAGGGCCCCAATCACGAAATTGAGCAGGGTTTAGGGTTTAGGGTTTAGGGTTTAGGGTTTAGGGTTTAGGATTTAGGGTTTAGGGTTTAGGGTTTAGGGTTTAGGGTTTAGGGTTTAGGGTTTAGGGTTTAGGGGCTCGTTTCGCTGAAGCTCGGCGCCATCCGCCCCCGGCCACCGTTGAGGGAGTTGATGGTCGAGAGACCGATCCTGGAGGGAAGTGGTGGCCGTAAGCCTCGTGGGGTTAGAGATTTCAGGCTCCCTATGACATTCCCTTACAAAAGGGTTGGAGTGGAGTTCGAGTAAGGTACCGAATTCCCTAGTGGGTTAGAAGGTACGGAATTCCCCGATTCTTGAAGAGGGTTTAGGGTGTATAGGGTTTGGGGTATGGGGTTTAGGGTTTCGGGCTTAGGGTTTAGGGTTGCTTCACGGGCCCAAGGGCATTTCTAGCGCCTAGTGCCCAAGCCAAGGGTCATGGCGTTGCCACCCATGCCGCCCAGGAAGCCTCGCGAAGGGCTCGTGGGCGAGGAGAAGAAAGAAGGGGTTTGGGGTGTTTCGGTTCTTTGGGGGGGTTTTGGGGGGTCTTGGGGTTGTAGGTTCTGGGGTCTAGGCAGCACCCCCCCCCCCCCCCTGCCACCCCTAAACCCTCGAAACTCAAGAGAGGGTCAAGGCCGTTCACTGCCTAGGTGCCCGAGACCATGTTTCCCAGGCCCATGGCGAAGAGGGTGCGGTCCCCCTCGCTGGGGGTCTTGGTGAATGACTCGACCACCTCAAGAAAGTTGGGGTTTGGGGTTTAGGGTTTAGGGTTTAGGGTTTAGGGTTTAGGGTTTAGGGTTTAGGGTTTAGGGTTTAGGGTTTAGGGTTTAGGGTTTAGGGTGAAGGGTTTAGGGTGTTAGGGCTCTTGGGGTTGGGAAGAACTCCATTTTTGCAGCACCCAGAAGCCCTCAACCCTTGAATCCGCCTCGGACGTCATCAGAGACTCGATGGAGCCCACCACGCACAGCAAGATGCCTCCGGAGACATTCCCTGCTGTTTAGGGTTTAGGGTTTACCTGGACCCCCAAAGTATGAAAAAAAACAGCCCAAAACCCTTAAAAGGGCCATTATTTTACATATTTTGGGGGTTGAGCTAGGGTTTAAGGTTTAGGGTTTAGGGTGGGTTCAAACCCCAGCGGACACCCATGTCCTTGAGGTTCGGGCCCGCCTTGGACCAGGATGCTCTGGATGGAGGACCAGGAGTCAATGATGCCGTGCAGGTTGTAACCTTGGCAGCTGAAGATTAAACAAGCTCAGGCCCGCGCCTCCCTGCAGCCCAAACCGCAACCCTTCAGCCTCCACCCCTCAGCCCTCTTCTTCCCAGGCCAGGGGCTTTTGGGGGGGGGGGGGGGTTGCCCTTTGCAGCCTTCGAAGCCCTCTTCCTTGCGGGGTTTGGCTAACCCTGCAACCCTGAAACCCTGAAACCAGCCTGTGGAGGGGTGCTGCACGAAGAAGGGGATGGGGAAGGCCGTCTCGGAGGTAAACTCCTTGGTGCCCAAGCGCAAAGAAAAAAAAACCAAGGGTTTAGGGTTTAGGGTTTAGGGTTTCAGGTTGAGGGTTTAGGGAGCCAGGCGCCCGAAACTCTGCCCTTGCCCTGAGCCCTCCCTGCCCCAGATGACCTAACCACCTCCCTTCGAGGGATCTAGGGCTTAAGGGCATTGGAAACAAATGAACGTATGATTCGCTCGCTCAAGTGCCCACGCTTGCATAAATGATGCCTTGCTTTCTCTTCTTCGGTTGCTTGCCTTTACCTCGTTCTCTTCATTTCATGCGTCTTTCTCTTCTTCGTATTATTCACCTTTAATATTTTGTAAACGATTGAATTCAGAAAATGGAAATCCTGTTCTTCCTCATAGTCAAGGTGTGTTCGCTTAAAGGGCATTATTAAAGTTATTCTTATGCTGTTTCTCATTTTCATTCGTCTTACTTTGCGTTAGCTTTCTCATCGTTCACTTATAATAAGGACAGAAAAGTCCTTGAATGATCCAGATGATTTTTTCTGATTCCGGGGCCTGGGGGTCTTTGCACTAACCCTTAACCCTTAAACCCTAAACCCTAAACCCTACACCCTAAACCCCCAAGCACCCTAAGCCCTACCTGCCATCCGCGCCGGGCATCGCTCACGTCGCCGATGGTGTCGGTCCTCCAGCCGCATGGGCGCACGATGGCAAACCTGGAGGGTGGGGTGGGAGGGGGGGCTAAACCCCAAACCTCAAACCCTAAACCCCAAAACCCCAAACCCTAAACCCAAACCCCCAACCCTAAACCCCCAAACCCAACCCTAAACCCCTAAACCCCCAAAACCCCAAACCTCGTTGCCAGGAACTCTCGGCTTCAGGGAAGGCTTTGGGGGAGGCTTAGGCCTGGAAAGGCCCCCGGAGTCAAAAGCCTTCAGCGTAAGTTTCGATCTTTTAAGGGAGGGGCTTTTTGGGCTGCGAGGGTAGTTTAGGCTTCTGAGGGCTTCGGGCCGAGGTTCGGGGGGCTTGAGGGTTCCAGTCTTCCGGGCCCTCAGACCCCCGGCAACCCGAGCCAAGCCGCTCGATGAGGATGGCGACAAGGATCGCCATGAGAGACGAGGGGATGACCTTGAACAGCTGTAGCGGCACCTGGGGCCGAGAGGAGGGCGTTGCGCCCCCTTGGGCCCGGAACCCACACATGAGGGTGCCCCCCCCCCCCACCCCCTAAATCCAAAAAAACGCACATGAGGGTCCCCAAAAAGGCAGGTGTAGAGAGCATTCTCCTCCGGCCGGAAAGTCAGCACATCCGGGGTTCACGTTCGGTGGCTTTGGGCTCTGAGGGCGTCGAGGCTTGGGTCATCTACGGCTTCAATCAGCCCTCAACCAGGGCCGAGTCGATGTTTTCAGATCTCCTTCATGGAGACCTTGATGGAGAAGAACTTCTCAGGCAAAGAATATACTTGGAGAAAAATGGCGTTACTTCATGGCGGCTACTCAGAATTTACAAGCATGCTACGAAATATCTGATCTGCTGTAGCCTATAGCATATGACCCCCCCCCCTGTTCAAACAGGCCCACCCAGAATACTCTCCATTTGAATAGCAAGCCTTTAGCGGAAACTTCCTCTTTCGTGCAAGCTTTTGGGGGCGTGTGCAAACCCTAAACCCCTAAACCCCTAAACCCCTAAACCCCTAAACCCCTAAACCCCCAAACCCTAAACCCCTAAACCCCAAACCCTAGACCCCTAAACCCTAAACCCTAGACCCCTGACCCTAAACCCTAAACCCTAAACCCTAAGCCCTAAACCCTAAACCCCCTAAACCCCCCGAAAGCCCCGCGGCCTTGGGCAGGAACTCCATGGTGGCCATGGAGGTGGCAGTGATGACCTGAGGAGTGGTCCGCAAATGCAGGGAGCCTGTAGGGTTTAGGGTTTAGGGTTTAGGGTTTAGGGTTTAGGGTTTAGGGTTTAGGGTTTAGGGTTTAGGGTTTAGGGTTTAGGGTTTAGGGTTTTAGGGTTTAGGGTTAGGGTTTGGGTTTAGGGTTTAGGGTTTAGGGTTTAGGGTTTAGGGTTTAGGGTTTAGGGTTTAGGGTTTAGGGTTTAGGGTTTAGGGTTTAAAGTTTGGGGCTTGGGGTTTGGGGTTTGGGGTTTGGGGTTTGGGGTTTGGGGTTTGGGGTTTGGGGTTTGACCCCTACACCCTGTACACCCTATACACCCTCAAACCCTATGAGAGGCTTGGGTTCAGCTAAACACCCTAAAACAATATGAGAGGGGTTCAGGGGTCAGGTTATAGGCTTAGGCACAGGGGGTTATCGCACTTCTATTTTGCGCTCGTGGTCTTAGAGGCCTCTACCTGGGCACTTGCGGCCGTGGGTCGAGCATCCAGAGCAGCTCATAGCCTTCCTTCCAGCCACTCAGCGACGACTGAACAGGGAGGCACGGCTTGTAGGGTAAGGGTTCTGAGGGCGTTAGAGGGCTTTCTACGGCGTACTATAGTGTTTACGAGGTTTGTGGGGTTTACGGGAAACCCTGTAGGGTTTAGGGCTTATCCAAAAACTCTGGAGACAGGCCATGCAAGGAGGTTCCCCCCCCCCTAGTTTGGGAAACGTTCGCCTATGCCGCATCCTACTCTCAAGGCCTTGTTTGATTCAAGAGTTCCGGAGTTTAGGATTCAGGGTTCGCGGGTTTTATGGACTGGAAGAATTTAGGACTCGAGATGTCTAGAAGACATACTGTAGGGGTTGAGAGCCCCCTAAACGCCAAACCCAGAACCCCAAACCCTAAGCTCCGAACCCCTAACCTCAAACCCGAAGCCCAAACCCCTAAACCCCTAAACCCCAGACAGGGCGGCCTCATCGTGGAAGGGATGAAGCTGGGCCATGCCGATGACGATGGCGAGCCCATTGCAAAACCCAACCATGACCTCGCTCGGCCCGCGAGCATAAGAAGCGCTTCGCGCTTTGCTCACGAACCTACCCCGATACAAGCGGGAGCCCTCATCAAGGGTAACTGCCTGATTCCCTCCTGCCAAGAACAAGCAACTTCATGGCTTAGGGCTTACAAGGGTTTGGCATTTGAGGTTTAGGGTTTAGGGTTTACAGGGTTTAGGGTTTACAGGGCTTAGGGCTTAGGGCTTAGGGGCTCGGGGCTGAGGGCTTAGGGCTTGGGGCTAGCGGCTTATCGCTCAGGGTTTAGGGCTTAAGGCCCCAATCGGCCACGCGGCGGGTGTGGGCAGGAGGAGGATGAACCGAGAGAGGTTCGAGGCGCTGGCCACCAGCATGAAGAGCCCTGAGAAACCAAGGGCTTAGAGGTTTAAGGGTTTAGGGTTTAGGGTTTGCGGTTTAGGGCTTAGGGTTTGGGATTTGGGGTTTGGGGTTTCGGGTTTAGGGTTTGGGGTTTAGCGGGTTTAGCGGTAGCCCTGGCAGCAAGGGTTGTTTGGAGGATGCCCCGAAACCCTGAGTGTTTAGGAATAGGTTCTCTCACTAAGAAGGCAAAATTAACCGTATCCCGAAGCACGACCCCGTTTCTGCTGGGAGGGTGGAACCTTCCGGCCCCAACTTCCAACCATTGCGTTGAGCCGCCTGCGAGCATGACGGAAGGGAAAAGAAGCTCGACGTGCGCGCCATTGCCTCCTGTCAGGGTGCCACGGCGTCTGCCATCTGCTAGAGCAAGGACCCCTCTCCTGCCCCAAACCACTAATGGAGCCAGAGCCCTAACCCCAAGAAGCCCTAAACCCTAAACCCTACTGTAAACCCAAAACCCTCGCCTGGCACATTCGGCGCAGGGAGGAAGGTCGCGATGATAGCCGCAAAGGCGCCAGTGGCGCCGTTGATCATCCCAGGTCTGGCGGGCTCAGGGTTGAGGGGCTGTAGGGCTTAGGGCTAAGGGCTTAGGGCTTCAGGGTTTAGGGTTCAGGTTTAGGGGCTTTAGGGTTAGGGCTTTCGAGGCTTTAGGGGCTTTGGGGGCTTTCGGGGCTTTCGGGGCGTTCGGGGCTTTCGGGGCTTTCAGGGCTTTAGGGGCTTTAGGGGCGATGGGTTTCTGGCCTAGGGGTTGATGGCTTCGACACCCCCGAGCTCAACCAACAGCTGCAGACCGAGTCAGGGCACGCTTCACAAAAAGCGCGCGCCTGCCCCCAAGAAGGCTGCAAAAGAGTCCTCAGGGCAAGCTCCCAGGGGCTTCGTGGCTTGAGGTCCTCTGATCTCGAGAGCCCCATGAAGGATGCTGCAACACCAAGCCTTCAAACCCTGAACTACAACCCCACTCCCCCCCCCTTTGGTAAAACAGGGGCCAGGGCGCCCATGATCCAAGCCGCATGGAGCGCCACATGGGGGCGGACGTGGGCTAGGAAGGCAAAGGCCACGGACTCCGGGACCTCGAGCGGCTTCCGAGTTGCATGCTTTGGGGGAGGGGGGAAGGGGGAGGGGGGGGGGCTCAGGGGGTCCTTGAAACCTTCCGGGCGCTGCCTTACAACAAGAGGCGCCTGCGCGAAACCGATGGTCACGCCCAAGAGCACCTCCTTGAAAGAAGGGTGGATTGTCAGGATCGCAGACCCTACCGGGCTCAGTGACCCTAGTGCACTTGAGGACCTGCTGGCCCATTTGGAACAACGTGGGTCCAAGCAGCGCATGCTATGCGTGTTGACGTTGACATGCTTTGGCTTTGCCGCTGGCGTAAAATCTGCACGTGCTTGCCGCAGAGCTTCCCCCAGGGCTAAAGCTGCCAAATTCTGGGCGGGCCGTAAACCCTATAACCCCACAACCCTAAAACCCTAAAACCCGAAAACCCCAAACCCTATAATTACCCCTATGACCCCTCGCCCAAACCCGAAAGATCTCCTTGGTGATGTAGCTCGGCGTGACGCCCTCGCGCGTCAGCAGATCGGGGGGCACGAAGCGCCCGCCTCTCTCGGCAACTCAGGCCCTTCTGGACCCTAAGGCACCCTAAAACCTTCAAAACCCGTAAAATTTGGGATGTTCCCCCTTTTCCGAACAGTCCTTCATGGGGGGCTATCAGAGGGGGGTGCTATCATCCCTATTAAGGACTACTAGTCTTCGGGGGAACATCCCAACTTGGAACCCTCAACTACAAAGGGATCGCGGTGTTCTACATATTAGGCCCCTCTTTGATGCCCTAAGGCCCGGAGGAGTAGACTAAAAGGAGATGCCCCAAAAAGGCGGCCCGAGACTCTCCGCACAAAAACACCAGAAAGCTTCGCCAGCTGCGCCTAGCCCAAACCAGCCGCTCGGCGCAGACGACGGGGCTCTGGAGCCTCGCGGAGGGACACGCCACTTCGGGGCTTCTTGATGAAAGGGGGGGGCCCTCCGCTGTAAGCATGGGCTTAGGGCAAAGGAAAGCTGTAGAGCTTCGGGCCGAATCAGTCGTAATCTCCGGAAATCGGAGGCCAGGCCTCCTTTGTCACAAAGGCGCACCTTGCTGGCAGTGGTGACAGTCCTGGCCGGATGTCGGGCTGAGGCTTTCTTACCCCAAACCCTATAAGATCGGTTGTGAAGGGCAGAACCGGACTTTCCCGGGACCCTAACCTCTGAGCCCTAGACCCTAGACCCTGGACCCTACTCCCTAAGGCCAGTCCTTGCACTTACGGCCGTGACGACGCCGTCTTGCTGCGCCATGGCAAAGAGAGATCCCAGTGAGCCGGAGATCTATGTCTATGTTTGGGCCCCAGGCTGCAAAAAAAAGAAGAACAAGTCCTGCAGTCACGACGACCCTAAAGCTACATTCCAAACCCCTTATAAATCCTTAAAACCCTAAGCCCCAAACCAAGGAAAATGCAAAGGGTTTCGTGAGGGCCTCCCCCGTCCCAGCTTTGCAGCAGCCAAACCCTCAACCTCAACCCTCTTAGCATCCCCTTCCCCTGTCACCCATTATCATTCTCACCAGATCAACCCCCAAGCACAGTCACGAATTCTAGGGGCCCTACGACACCGAGAGGAGGGGTTACAATTTAGGGTTGGGGGCGGAGAGCAGAGGGCGCAGTTGGTGGTTGGATTCGGAGGTCAGGGGCGCGCGCAGGGGACCTGCCCAGCATCTGCGCCTTAAAGAATTCAAGCACCACCCTCACCCCCCCAACCCTAAATCCTAAGCTCCTAACCCCTAAACCCCAAACCGAAAACCCTAAACCCAACACGCGCCCTGCCTTGAGACTCTGTCTGTGCATGACAGAGCTCATCGTCAGGTGCTGCATCTGCGATCTCAGCACAGCGCCTCATCGTGCACCACAGGGGAGGGGCCTAAAACCCTAAACCCAAAACCCTAAACCCTAAACCCTAAACCCTAAGCAAGATTCGACCCAAGTGGCTTTGGAGGTCTAAGGTTCGCTGTCCTAAGGGCAACTCAAAGAGGCTTCAGGCACCCAACATCAAAACCACGGGGCCGCTTGTTGCAGGAAAAGGGAATGAAGACTTTCGGGTTTAGGCCTTAGGGTTTAGGGTTTAGGGTTTAGGGTTTAGGGTTTAGGGTTTAGGGTTTAGGGTTTAGGGTTTAGGGTTTAGGGTTTAGGGTTTAGGGTTTAGGGTTTGGGTTTAGGGTTTAGGGTTTAGGGCTAAGGGCTAAGGGCTTAGGGTTTAGGATCTTGTACTTTGCGGCAAAGAGGACACCCGCCTTCAACCCCCTAACCTCACAAGCCCGCACCCCTCGCCCCGAAGGCCCCACCCTTGCGATGAGCATCAGTAGGCTGATGCTCAAGAGGGTTTCCTGGAGCGCTTTGAGGCCTTCCTGTGGATCCTTGGAGTGGAGGTTGCCTTACCCCCTAAACCCTAAACCCTAAACCCTAAACCCTAAACCATTGCATTGTAAAGGTAAAGAATTTGAGGGCAAATTCCCTAAACCCTAAACCCTAAACCCTAAACCCTAAACCCTAAACCCTAAACCCTATACCCCTCTTGGCGGTGCATGTCTCCAGCATTTTACCTTCACCAGCCTCGGGCTCGCTGGCTCCGGATGGTAGGATTTCCTTTTCACAAGGACCCCAATCAGGTACCCCCCCCCCCCCCACTATCGGAAACCCCCACTTGGCAAAACACCCGATGCTGCAACTGCAACGTCTGGTCGGAGCAGAAAGTCAAAACTTCAACCCCTTAAACGCTCAACGCAATCGTCGGGGTGGAAGGGCCTTGGTCAACATCGCAGCGCAAAAGCGAGAGCACTTCGGGGGATGTTTGGAGCACCCGGCGGGCGAAACCTGGCAAGCCTGAGCCGAGCCACTCCACTGCGCCGTGCGGACGTCCTCCGGCGCATCGGGCCCCAAGGCCAGCTTCCCGAGGCCACTGGCGCTCTCCTCGGTTCTTTTGGTGTTGTTTTTTAGGGTTTAGGGTTTAGGGTTTAGGGTTTAGGGTTTAGGGTTGAGGGTGTATAGGGTTTAGTGTTGGGGAGGGGGTTGGGAGTCCATGGGGCACAGCTGGAGGGGCTTTGTGACTGCCGAAGATGCGTGCAGCTGCATCCTTTTCTTGATCAGGATTGGCATTTTGCCGGCGGTCTTAAGTTATGTCGCCAAAACACACTCACACTGCATCGCTCTGTGCCAGGGCGCAAGTTGACAGAGGGAGAGGCAGAGTTTGGGCTGGTAGAGCTGGCGGGACCTCGGACTGCGATCCCGTCGAAGAACGGAATGCGGACCAAGGGCTCTCTTGAAGGGTTTAGGGTTCAGGGTTCAGGGTTCAGGGTTTAGGGTTTTGGGTTTAGGGTCCGGGGACTCTCATCCAGCGTGACAAGGCGTTCTGAGTTCTGGCTTTGGATCCTTATGGTGCTACAGGTTTGTGCCTTTCGGGCTGGGTTTGCAGGACCGCGGGTGCTGGATTGAGTAGCCATATACACAATGCAAAACCAAAAAAAGAGAGAAACGAGTTCAGAAAGAAAACGTCGGCCCGGTGTTTTCCCAAGGCTCTGGCCCTTCGTCCATCTTCAGCTCCAGCTCATGCGGGCCGAGCTCGGCCCCTGTGTTCAGGGCTTACTGGCTTGGAGGAGCGATGCAGGAGCCCACGTAATGGACAACGTCATCCCCCGAATCATCCTAAAAGAATATATGCAGATTACTATACATATATGCATAAGATGCATATTACTATACATATATAAATATCAAAGGGTGAGTTCTCTGTGTTATGGTCCCTTTTGGGGGTTCCTATGATAAGGCGGCCCCTAAATATTGCAGGGTTCCCAAGAGGGAGACCATACTTTAGAGAACTGACCAGAACAGGCGGCTGAGGGGTGAGGCCTGCAGGGTTTTAGGGTTCAGGGATTCGGGCTTGCAGTGAACTCGGGGCGTGGGGCCTGGAGGAATGCTTTTGGGGTTTCGAGCTCTGGGGTTTTTGGAGGACTTCGAGCTGAGGATTTTGGGGAGTCTAGGTTCAGGGGGCTTAGGTCGAAGGGCCACTCTGACACACAGGGCCCCTGTAGCCATGGACTCTCCGACCACAGTGATGCAGCTTCAACCCCCCTCCGCTTCCCGTAATCCGCCAAGTCTCCCTCCAGGCCAGGCGTGTCCAGCGTCAGCCAGGTCCTTACGAGAAGCAAAGCTTCGGGACCTCCATCATTCCCTGTGGGTACCCCGCCACACTCCCCGCCCCCCTTTCCCATAGTCCCAACACGGAAGAGCCCAAACTTTGCCGGCTTGAGCTCACTGGGCCCCCCAGCTGGTACAGCATGCTCAAACTCAGGGCCCGGAGGGCGCTAAGCGGTAGCCTCGCAGACTTGAGGGAGTGCCCTCAGGAGGCTATGGGCGTTCTGGGTTTCAGGCTGCTTAGTTGGGCGCCCTGAGGGAGCTTAGGGTGAACTGCCCCTTAGTGTCTTGGAGCTTTCATGGCTGTAGTTGCCGCATGGGTGTTCGCGCTCATCACAGTTCGAGTTTTCCTACCACAACACTTTACAACGTGCCGAAGCTGACGACCCTCAACCTCAAACCCTAACCCTGATGTATTTCTAAGCCCTAAGCCCTACGCCCTAAACCCTATAAACCCTGATGTAACTCTAAACCCCCGGTCAGGCGGACCTCAGCTCCCCCAGCAGTCGGCGCCGGGCGGCGTCCGTGCGCGCCGCCTCCTCGTCCGGCGCGGCCTCGGGCCAGGGGTTGTTTAGGGTTTAGGATTCAGGGTGTTTGGTTCAGGGTTTGGGGGTTTGGGGGTTTAGGGGGTTGAGGGGGGTTTAGGGGGTTTAGGGGGTTTAGGGGGTTTAGGGGGCTTAAAGGGCTTAGCGTTTAGGGTTGAGAGTGCCCGTGAACTGGGGACATCGGCCCACGCCCGGATCTGCAGCACGGAGTCCGCCCTGGCCGACCTGCCGCTGGCGCTTGAGATGGTTCCCTGGGCATCCCCAAGTTGCCTTACCGGGATGCTTCTTTGTAGGGAATGGGGGAAAATTGGGTAGCCTACATAATCCCCTTAGAGGGTATATAGAAGGGGATAGAGGGTACCTCGTTCCCTCATTGCCCTACGCAGAACCAGCAAGTTAAGTGGATGTAGGGCTCCAGGCAAAAAACCAAGCCCCAATCAAGTCTAGGGATTTGGGGCTTCGGGTTCTTTAGGAAGAAAGCATACACCCTTTCGACCTAAAACCCTAAACCCTAACCCCTAAACCCCACGCCCTACACCCTACACCCTACACGGCCCTGCACCCTAAACCCTCAACCCTAAACCCTGAACCCTAAACCCTAAACCCTAAACCCTAAACCCTGGCCTCAACTGCCAGGCCGTGCCCGGGGCCGTGAGCTTCTCAGGATCCGAGCGCCTGGCACCCAAATGAAAAGACGAAAAGCGAAGTGGTGGTTCGAAGACTCACAGAAACAAAGGTGGGCTGATGGATCTTTGCCCCAAACCCCAATCCCTGAACCCTAATTGGGGCTTGGAGTCTGCAACTTCGGGATGGGCCGTAGGGTTCGGATCATGACCCTCTGCTGCAGGAGAAGAGAACCCGTAGGCCCTGAAACCCGTACAAAGACAACCCGCAGGCCCTGCATGCTCTCAGAGCGTCCTATCCACCCAATTTCACCAAAGAGACGCCCCTCCGCAAAGCCCCGCCCCCCCCCCCCCGGGGCTTCTGGTCGCGCAGGGACACGAAGACCTGCTCACCCGGGCTCATATCCAGGCCGCGCGCCTCTTCTTGGAGCTTTGGGTAGAAGGTGACGGGCCTTGAGGGCCTGTTTCTAGCTCTCAGGGGTCCGGATTGGCCGATTTTTGTTGGCAGGGCCTTTCGTAAGGAAGAATGCCCTACTGAAGGTCTTGGCCAAGGGGATGTCGAGTTAAGGCCAATATTGCCTGTTTTGTTATGACGATGATTCTTCCTAATACCATTATATGGGAGTTTACGAAAATAAGGGACCCCTAGAATCGACCCCTAAATAGCAGGGTTCCCTTATAGTAAGGAACCCCAAAATAAGGCACCCCTGATGTCGGGAAACAATCATAATATCATGACCTGCTAAAGCTGTGGGTGGTCTTGAAGGGCCCCGCCTCGTGGCAAAGGATGACCAGGTCCACATCCGGCGGGTCTCCGAAAGCGCAGGACTGTCAGGGGAAATTGGGGGTTTAGGGTTTAGGGTTTAGGGTTTAGGGTTTAGGGTTTTGGGTTTTGGGTTTAGGGTATAGGGTATAGGGTTTAGGGTTTAGGGTTTAGGGTTTAGGGTTTAGGGTTTAGGGTTTAGGGTTTAGGGTTTAGGGTTTAGGGTTTAGGGTTTAGGGTTTAGGGGCCTCGAGTTGATGGGGCTGAGACTGGGTTTAGGGTCAAAGGGTTTAAGGGTTCTAGGGTTTCATGGATCAGGATTCAGGGTTTTGGCTTAGTGTTTTTGGTTGAGGGTTTAGCGTTCTTGGTTTAGGGTTTAGGGTTTAGGGTTTAGGGTTTAGGGTTTAGGGTTCGGGCTTGTTCTCTGCGGTCTCAACAGCGAGGACGAGGGCGCGCCTCGCGCGAGATGCCAAACAAGCCGAGGAAGCCGCCTTTGGGGCATAAAAGTTACCCTGCTTTTGGGTTTAGGGTTTAGGGTTTAGAGTTTGGGAGTTTGGGAGTTTAGGAGTTTAGGAGTTTAGGAGTTTAAGGTTCGGGGTGTAGGCTTCCCAGCTGCGTGGTTTGAGCTTCAGGCTGGGGGTTTGGGGGGTGGGGCGGCCTCCCCCGCCCCCGCCCCCCTCCGCCCCTCGTTTGAGCGCCCGCAGCCCCAAGCCCCTAAACCCTAAACCCCAAAACCCTAAACCTCAAACCAGTTCTTGGAAGGGCTCCAAAAAGGCTCCGAGCGACCCGAAACCCTGCAGCCGAGGGTTTCTGGCGCTCATCAGTTTTAGCAACGTTGTGGTCCATCTACTAGTGCCCTCAACAGCCATACTATGCTTTATTCCAGCTATCCTCATCCTGTGGGTTAGTCAACAGTACCATTAAATCACTAGCTCTCGTCAGCATTAGGCCATGAACTGTGGGGAAGCCCTGAGGCAAAAATCCGGGGGCCCGCGCTGTTCGTGGCCTGTGCAGCGCCGCCCGCACTGGGCATCGCTGGCCTAGGGGGGTCGGGGCTTAGGTGGTCTTAGGGGCCGAGAAGTGTAGGAGGTTTAGGGATGGTTGAGGGTTTGGGCTTCTGGGGTTTCCAACAATCGCGTTTCTCCCATCTGGAGTCGAGCTTTGGGTCTCAAGGCTTGGCAGCTCAGCGCCTCACCGCCGACACGCCACTTGCTCTAGCACCCGAGGCCTGAACCCCAACTCAGCCCTTAGCATGAATCCGACAGCCCCTAAACCCTAAACCCTCAATCCCAAACCCCCAAAGTCCCCTAAATTAAAGGCCTCACCGAGCTCCCTGCAGCTCAGCTCGAAGCCATGAGGCCCTACAGACCCTCTGAGGTTGAGTCTTATTTTGAAAGGGCTTAGAGTTGAGGGTTTAGGGCTTGTAGAGGGCTTTTGGTTTAGGGCTTAGGGATTCGAGCTGGGAAGCTTGTTGAGTAGGCTTCGGGGTTTGGGAGGGATCGAGGGCACAGGGAAAGAAGGGAACGTAGGGGGAGGGTGGCATATCAGGACGTGTTGGGTCCAAAGGCGCACTGCTCTTGGAACCTCCGGAGAGAGATCCCTGATGAAACCGAATGTCTGGGGGCGGCATCATGCTTGTAATTGCGAATCTCCTGCCGTTACTCTCCTTGCTACTGGCCACAGCGGCCAGGTGGTGAAAGACTCGTGGCTCGTGCTCTTCGTTGCCATGGGACTAAGACAGCTTGAGGTCAGCTGCGGCCTGAAGCCACCGATTCACAAGTTCTTTCTCTGCCACCTGCCGAAGGACCCAACCACTCACCCCCCCAACACCCTAAAGCCCTGAAGCCCTGAAGCCCCAGAGCCCTACAGCCCTAAACCCCTAAACCCCTAAACCCCTAAACCCCTAAACCCCTAAACCCTGAAAAACCCCTAAACCCCCAAAGCCCCCAACTCCCAGACCCTCACACCCATAAACCCCATAGACCCATGAACCCCTAACTCCCCAAAGCCCTAGACCAAACCCCAAACCCTGTCCACCCCCGAAGCCCCCGGTGGCGCCACTCGTGCCCAGGCGGAGGCCCACCTTTTGAGTGGCAGTAGGCCACCGCAGCGAGCGTGTGCTGCATCACCTCCAGCTTGGGGTTGAGGGTTTAGGGTTTGGGGTTTAGGGGTTAGGGTTTAGGCGGTTTAGGGTTTAGGGTTTAGGGTTTAGGGTTTAGGGTTTAGGGTTTAGGGTTTAGGGTTTAGGGTTTAGGGTTTAGGGTTTAGGGTTTAGGGTTTAGGGTTTAGGGTTTAGGGTTTAGGGTTTAGTTTAGGATCCAATTCGTCGGGACCTCGCAGGCGGAAATGTTGAGTCTGGGCCCTGCCTTGGCACACCACTGCTCCCACTGGTGCGCGTCGCGGGTCATGGGGTTCTTCACGGCTTCCTGCGAGTGCGGCAGGGTTCGAGTGAAGGGGGCACGGCTTACGGGACTTGGATTGGCGTCACCACTTGCTTGGGTTGCAAGGGATGTCTACCTCAGCCTTGAGGGTCCCAAGACTTGAGGTTCTTAGCATGGGAGACTCAAGCCAAATCCGAATCCCTAAATCCGAACTTTCTGAAAGCCAACCAGCCACAGAACCGCTCCCGAACGAGCAGGGCCCTTCGTTTTGAGGCGGGCGCTTGCCGTGGTGTCTGGGATTTGAGATTTGCTGCCGCCGGACCCCGGAGTTGGGTCGCCTGGCAGGGGACCTGCTCTTCTCAAACCCGTTCGACGACCCTAAAGCACCATCCAATGCTGACTCCCAACAACATCTCGAGCTGTAGAAGCTGACGGCACATGTCGGCTGATCCTCTGTACCAGGCTCCGACTCCCGGGAGTCCAAAAGCGGGCATGGTGCCTAGATTACTGCGGGGGGCCATGGGGGATGCTGAATCACACTTCGAGCAGTTTTTGTCGATGTGGGTTGAGGGTTCTTGTGGGATTTGGAGTGTGAAGGTATCGGCCACAGGGCCGGCCACACACCCTGAGATTCGCGCCCTTAACGGACGCGCAGCTGGGCGCTTGCTTCCAAGCTGTCCCTCCCCCACCGCATCGCGCTCGACGCAGCAGGCTGCCCCCTTTTAAACTACGGGGGGGCTGGCTTCTCACTGAAGCTCTCTGAAGCCCCTAACACCCGAACACAAAAACCGCAAATTTAAACTCACTTTGGGTTCAGAATTGCATAGGGTTCACAAGTGTAAACAAGAGCACCACGCAGTTGCACAATGTTGCCACCCTAAACTCCCCAATCCTAGCCCCAAAACATTACACGAGTACCCTCTGCCTGCTTGGTCTCCCCCCGCGTTGCAGTGAGGTGCTGCAGGGCCCGTCCCAGAGTGGGGCGCTGGGCAAATCCGGACGTGTTTGGTCACCGAACCAGCCAAAAATGGGGTGGGTTTGTCCGAAAATCTGCGGCTTCCTCGAATGACGGTGAGCGCTTGGGCTCATAGCCAGAATCCACTTTCATTGGTTAGGGCTCCAAAGGCTCGTTGGAAACCGCCTTGTATTTCGGAAATCCCGAGGGATTTGCATGCCCTGTGTGAGCCAGTTGGCTTTCACGGCATGTCCCAACATTATCTCGACAGACAAATCGAGACAGCGCTGGGGCCTCACACCTTGTCAGGCACCGATGGCGCTTTAAAATCGCCAGGAAGTCAAGACTAAACCAACCCGGAGATGCTTGCAGCGACAACACGGACAAATGTTGGACAAGCACGGACAAGCACGGACAAACGCGGAGACAAAGACGGGCAAAACGTGCCTGCAAAAAAGGCTGAGGCAAGGAAGAAATTGGCCACGGCTCACGAAGATGTGGCTGCACAGGTTAAACAGGGAGAGCCCGCGGCGCAAGAGTGGAACAGGGGTATTGCGGCCGCCGAAACGGCCTGCGCCAGCGGTCCCAGCAAAAGAGCCTCAAGATGATGTGTGGGCGGAGCTTTCAGAAGAAGCCTGGGCCTGGGGCCTTGTTTTGCTCAGGGGCAAACACACCTCCCTCAAAACCATTGGGACCGCTTCCGCGTCATGTCTCATCGGTCCGACTCACCCTCCTTGCCCCAGTTCCAGGGCAGGTTCTCCGACGGCATGTCCTGGGGCTCAAGGCCGAGGGCTTCAGAAGGGTTTTGGGGTTTAGGGTTAAGGGTTTAGGGTATATAGGGTTTAGGGTTTCGGGTTTAGGGTTTAGGGTTTAGGGTTTAGGGTTTAGGGTTCACGAGTCTCAAGGGGCGAGTCCTTCACCACGTTGGCGCCGATGACCAGAGCGCCTCCTGGGCATGCGCGCGGGGATTCTCTCGAACTCCCCTCTCTGAAAGAGCCCTGCAACTTACAGGGGCGCCCCTGAGTTCCAGGCGCCCCTGAACTCCGAACATTCAGACTCTCCCATCAACTCTCTTCATCTGCTGGTTCTTTGCTCTGCGCCTCAGGCTGAGGGTTTCAGGGCTCTTTCGAGTTTTGGGTATACGGCGCTGGAGCCGAACCCCCACACCCTCAAACCCAAAAACCTGGAAACCCTCTAAGCCTTTCACCAACAGCCCTTAAGCCTTAAGGCCCTTAAGGCCCTTAAGGCCCTTAAGGCCCTTGAGGCCCTCAAAGGCCCCGAACTCCGAAAATTCTGGGTCATGATGAAGTCAGAGATCCGACGGCGTCCACTGCCGAGAAGGGCTCGTTGATCCTGAGCGCAGAGGCCCACTGAAGGGGCTGCTTCGGCTTGGTGCTTAGGGTCTGAGGACCTGGGGGGTTTAGGGTACGGGGGGCAACCAAAGGGAGACAGGAAACCAAACAGTCAACCCCAGAAGAAGCCCTTAAGTTCCCCGGACCAACCACAAACCAAACCCAAAAGACCAAGCACTCTTTTCTCACTAAGTGCATCGTCATCTTGAGCCAAAAAAAAAGGTTCCGGGTTCATTGACCCTTTAACCTTCAACACCAACTCTTTTCCACAATACAAACTGCAGCTCCGCACTCCCCCTGTCCTAGGTTTTCCTAGGACACAAACTGGAGGTGCAGACCTTTGACCGAAAAATTGTCACTTTGACAACGGTCATCTTCATGTTTAACGTCCGATGGACGGGCCACCGCCACTAATTTGCACACCATGGTTTTACGTCTTTCCAAGACGAACCTTCAGCTCATTGGCCGAATCCCTTACCATTGAGGATTTCTTCACCTCACACTTGAAAAAATCTACGTTCCAGCGGCCCGTTCCTCACCAAGGAACTCAGCATTCACCACCCAACCTTTCTTGACGCAATGCTTACAAAGCGTCTTGGCCCTGGGCTGTGAATATCGCAGAACATCACAGTCACTGCTTGCGTGCATACAGTTCCCACCCACCGTTGTATACAAAGTGGCACTCGCGGGAATAACCACCACTTTCCTGCCCCACAGCCATTTGCACAGCTTCCGAAAGAGATACCTGGCCAACTCCCAGAGTATGATTGTTGCCACCAAATACACAGCGATGTCCGCATTGTTGATAACCATTTCAATACTTTGAGCCAGAACCATAACCGTAGATGTGTTGGCGACCCTGCACACCCCTTCTTCTGAGCAAAAGAATCCAGCAATTGACGCTTCTTCTCCACCAATTGCCATCCCTTGCAGAGATGCAGCCACCATCATGACCGCCATTGCAAGAGAGGCCCTTTTCAAGTCAGTTCCTTGCACCAACAGTTGGAGACCCCAAAGCGCCTTTTGCTTCGCAAAAACCTGTCCACTCATCAATTTTGTCAACAGGTCAGCAATCATATACTCACCGCGAAGATGCGCTATCACCATGTAACCACGGTCCACCACAGACCTGACACCGGCTGCTCGAATCCTCAGGCGCCTTGTCCTCCAGCTTCCAGCAGGATATTGAATGATTGAGCATGTCGAAACCGAATCTGTATACAGCACTTTTTGCAGCGATTCTTCACCTGTTCCAACCAAAGCGGCAATTATAGGGGTGCACGACTGAAACATCGTTGCTCCCTCTATAGACGCATGCAACTCAGCCTCAGCAGTACTTAAAGCCACCGTTGATTGTCTCTGCGTTGCCCACATCACTGGACAATCACCCCAAACCACCACCGCTCCTGAGTGGCTCTTTTCGTTTTCACCTGCTGCAAAGCTAGCATCCGCGTAGGACTCTACCACCTTGACGCCTCGCCCATAACGCAACACCTCATTCCTTTCTTTTTCGCATGTTGCGATTGCTCCAAACGTCAAGCCTAACGTTGGAGTTGCAGCAAGGTATCGAAATACCTCCTCAGCCTTTTTAACCACAAAACGCGGCCTTCGGGATGTCCACAAAGACAACTGGCTTGTGCAGAAAGCCAAATCAGGTCGAGTTTTGATTGCCACCCAGAGGAACTCCCCTACGGCACCTTGAGCCGCTCGCAAGGAAGGAATATCCACCTCCTCTTCTTCACCTGGCGTTTCTTTCACCATTGGCAGGTTACGACCTTTTCCAGTTTCATCAATCTGATACCCTCTTCGGTTCAGCAAATCTCTCACGAAGTCCTCCTGGTTGAGAAAGAAGCTGCCATTTCGATACCAGATTTGGATACCCAAAAACTTCAGGAATCCATCACCACAGCCTGGACCACAGAACTCAGGTTCAGAAGTTTTCCACTCCTTCCTGATCCGTTCCAAGGCTTCCCGGAGCACTGTCATAGTCCCAGCCATCAAAAAATCATCCACGTAAAGACCCATTGTCCCTACCAACTTGCTTGCACCTTCCGGCTTCTCTTGTGCCATAATAAGGAACAGACTTGGGTCTGCATTGGACCTCTAAAAGCTCATTGCTTGTCCATCCTTTGACACCCAAGACATGCCTTGAAGACGCTGATCTCGCCACTCCACCCATGCTGCAGGACTTTCGGCCAAACCGTACAAGGCCTTCCTCACAATCCACCGCTCCTCCTTTGTACAAAGACCCAATTTCACCGCCGCCCTTGGGGGCTGCACCACCACCAGACGCCCTTCTCTTTGCGCCCTATTCATCGGCGCCGTCAGAAAAGCTTTGGAAATGTCTAAGCCAGCGATGATCCACACCATATATGCTGCGTGCCTCACTTGACACCTGAATGTAGTTGAATCTAAACCAGGAGCGTACAGCGAGTGACGACTGAGGGACCTCGGCCCTTCGTATTCTGTAGCTGCCGTTGACGAAATAAATTTCCACATGCGCAGATACGGGCACGTCGCCTCCCTGTCCCTTGCTTCCGGGTAAACACCACCAGACTGGGCACGTACTCAATCACCGGTGCATTCGGCTCTTCCGCCAATTTGTCCAGCTTTTCTTGAGTTGTTGGTTCCACCACCTCCAACTCTTTAACCAAAGACGTCACCTCGTCCGACAATGATTCCCTCCACTTTTCCAGCTCTTGCATGGCTTCTTGCGTAGGAATTGTTTTTGTTTGCAGGAACTCAACCTCCTCTGCTGCCTCCAGCGCAGTATTTTCTTGTACCGTTTGCTGAACTTGAGCTGCTTTGACCAAAAACTTCGAGAGCTGTTCCTCGGTTCTTTTTGCTTTAACCAACCATTCTCTAGTCTCTGATCCTTTTTCTCCATTCGACTCATTGGCCGATCCATGGAACTCGTCCAAAACGCAACATTCCTGTTCAGCAATTAGGCGTCGAATACTCAAATGCTCCTCTAGAGCCCATTGGTGCGCTTCGAACACAGCATAGTCGACTTCCTCCGCAATGTCGTCCAGCGAGGTCTCTTTCAACGTCACGTTTAACCATTTCCTTTTTTCACCTTCTTCAGCTTGTGGTTCCGGAAGAGGAAACTTACATTGGAGAAGATAGCACCTATCCTTGTAGCTCAAACGCTCCATAAAAACAGGTGTGTACCCGGTCAAGGATACCCTGTTCCCTTTCCAAGGCATAGGACCATGAAACTTCCTCGGAAAGAACGACATGAAGTTCCAGTGGATATCGACCAATTTTCCAGGCAAGACTTTCTTCCCATAGGATTGCTCCACCACTTCAGCTCCTTCCTCTAAAGCCTTTTCATCCTCAACCCACAGCTGACCATCTTTATAGTCACCAAAGCCACACACATAATTGCAGCAATGCTTTTCATTGTGACTATCCCTATGCAATGATACCGGAGCATTGCATGAGATCTGAAGAGCAGAAAATTTGGCTTCAGGATTGTGGTGCCTCACGAATGATGCCAAGTAACGACATAGCCATGGCCTTCGATGAGTCTCTGTTGTAATACCACACACTCCGCCATGAGTATAGTGACCCAACACCAGAGCTCGCGTACTTGTGCACCAATTATTGATACCACCTCTTCGATTCACCCTCTTTGGGTATACAATCCCTTCCAAAAGCTCCTCACAGTCCACGTAATCGTACATAGACCTTTCATACATCGATTTGGCTTTTTGTTCTTCCTTTTCCAACTGCGTTCCATCCTCGGCAGTCTTGCTTTTGCAGACCAAATAAGCATTTTCATGAGGAGAACAGCATGTCGGCCAATACTCATCACCAGGAACATTGTCCTCAACATCTGCATTTTCTTCCAGCTCCCCCAGACCCTGCATGTCATCCTCGAAAATTTCTAAGGGCGGACTCTCCCCCCGCTTGCGAAGCAAGCGCAAGGAGCCCACATGACCACGCAGTGAAGAGTCCATAAACTCGGGCCTTGCGTGGACACAGCTTGGGTATTCATTTCGTGGCCTCAGGAGACACACTCGTCGAGCAACGCATGCTGGTTGCGAAGCTTGGGAGCCCAGCCGAGAAGAACTGCGCCAGCCTGCCAAAGGTTCAGCCACATGTATAACCAACACCCAACAGAACTAGACGTTCTTAACAAATACATGTTAAACTCATGATATCGGCATGTGGACGTCGGGGAACTTCTGCACTGCTGCAACCGGTTCTGAGGCCGGAGCAGAGCCCAGTGCGGTTGAGATCGCTTGCTTGGCTACCTTTGAAATTCACCGAAAGGTAGATCCCATGGTTCGGCGCCATATGCAAAGCCCCCGGCGGATCTTTGCATGTGCAAGCGGTCCTGGCATGTTGGAGCTCTGTTGGGGGTGTCACCAACCACAAAACATCTCCTCTCTTTCTCTCTCTCTCGCTCACGCTCATCATAATCGTAAGTTTCATGGTATTAGAAAACCAAAACACCACGTACCAATGGGAGTCTCTCATGGGTCTTTACGGGTTCCACAAAGGTTCCTCCTAATCATTCCAAATCTATATTGCTATATGAGTCGTTCTCTAAATTAGGGTCCTTTTGTAGGTCCCCAAAATAGTACGACACCCTTAGAAAAAGGATCCTAGAAGGCACCCGAAGTTAGACAACTACCCATGTTAAATAAAGGAATATAGGATTTCCAATCTTTGCTTTGTTGCGAAACGGCTATACAAGCTGCTTAGCATCTCTGGCCTAGCCTCACGGCTGTCGCAGATGAGGTGCTGGTGCGCCACCTGAGGTTTGAAGCGGCCGTCAAGCTCTGGTAGTATATGATGCATATGACGCAGCTTGCGCCGTCCTTCTCCCCATCCTTCACCTTGTCATTGTCCTACATCCTGGCACATTCAAGCTACAAGTGATAGCTTCGAAATCCCGAACCAGCGTAGATGCAAATAGTGTCGTAAAACAGCCTTGCGCCGATACCCCGATGGGCCCCGATACGCCGGTACGCCCCCCCCCCCCCCATACGC